ATTCTCTCTGTCACATTTAGGCACACCTATCAAACGCAGATTAGATCTTTCCACATAATCCCATATTTCTTTGACGGTTTTTTCATTTCTTTTCACTCTTTTTCTCTATTCTTGCCTTCTCATTTTATTTCATTGAGTTGACCTTCAATCTCTGATATCCTTTCTTCTGCTTGGTCGATTCGGCTATTGAAACTTGTGTATGCTTTATGAAGCTCTCGTGCTGTGTTTTTCAGCTCCATCAAGTCTTTTATATTCTTCTCTATGCTGTTTATTCTAGTTAGCATCTCATCTAACCTTTTTTCTAGGTTCTTAGTTTCTTTGCATTGGGTTAGCACATGTTCTTTTAGTTCTGAGAAGTTTGTTATTACCCACCTTCTGAAGCCTGTTTCTGTAAATTCGTCAGATTCATTCTCCATCAATCTTTGATCCTTAGCTGGTGGGAGGAGTTGTGATCCCTTGGAGGCGAAGCGTTCTGGTATTTGGTGTTTTCATCCTTTTTGTGCTAGTTTCTTCCCATCTTAGTGGCTTTATCTACCTGTGGTCTTTGTAGTTGGTGATTTTCAGATGCGGTCTCTGAGTGGACATCCTTTTTGTTGATGTTGAAGCTATTTCTGTTTCTTAGTTTTCCTTCTAATAGGCCCCTCTGATGCAGGAGTGTTGGAGGTCCACTCCAGACCCTGCTTGCCTGGGGATCACCAGTGGGGCTGCAGAACAGTAAGAGCTGCTGCGAGTTTCTTCTGTTATCTTTGTCCCAGAAGGGTACCCGCCAGAGGTTGGCTTGAGCTCTCCATTATGTGGTGTCTCTTTGGGTATACGGGGGTCAGGGAGCTGCTTGAGGAGATAGTCTGTCCCTTACAGGAGCTCAAGTGCTGTGCTGGGAGCTCCACTGTTCTGTGCAGAGCTGCTGGGCAGGTACCTTTAAGTCTGCTGCAGCAGAACTCATAACTGCCTCTTTTCCCAGGTGCTCTGACCTAGGAAAGTCAGCTTTATTTTTAAGCTCCTGACGTGCTGCTGCCTTTTTTCAGAGATGCCCTTCCCCTCACAGAGTAGTTCAGTCACAGTCTGCCAGCAGAGGTGTTGCTGAGCTGCCGCAGGCTGTGCCCAGCTGCTGTGTGAACTGCCTTGGTATTGGCAGGCTGCCTTGGTAGTGGCAGATGCCCTTCCCCCCACTGAGCTGGATAGTCCTGGGTCCTGTTGCACTTGGCTGCAAAACTCTCAATCCAGAGTGTTTCAGATTGCTTGTTTTGTGGGGGTGGTACCCGCCGAGCCAGACTGCCTCGCTCACTGTCTCAGCCCCCTCCCTTTCAGTTGAACGGTGAGCTCTGTCTCTCAGGCATTCCAGGTGTCAGTTGAAACAGCTGCCCAGATTTGTGTTTCTGTGTGCCAACCTGCAGCACCAGCTGCACTGAGAACTCATGGTGCTTTTCGGCCTGGGAATCTCCCAGTCTATGGGTAGTGAAAACTTGTTTGGAAATGCAGTGAGCACTCACCCTCTGTGTTGTTCTTGCTGGGAACTGCACTCTGGAGCTGTTCCTATTCAGCCATCTTCAATCACTCAATTTTAAAAAGGAATGAAATCCTAATACAATCCCACAACATGAAAAAACCTTGAGGACATTATGCTAAGTGAAATAAGCCAGTCACAAAAGGACAAATACTATATGAGATACCTACAGTAGTCAAATTCATAGAGACAGAAAGTAGAATGGTGGTTGCTAGAGATTAGGGGGAGGGTGGAATGGCCAGTTGTTTAATAGATACATGGTTTCAGTTTTGTAAGATGAAAAGAGTTCTGTGGATGGATGATGGCGATGGTAGCACAACTGAGTACCACCAAACTGTACAAACTTAAAGATGGTTAAGGTGGTAAAGTTTATGTTATGTATATTTTACAATTAAAAAAAGAAATTTAAAAAAAATTGCTTAACTCCATAAATTTGTGAAAGAAGCAAAACTGCCCCTAGGTTTCCAACATTACAAATGTCTACATTACAAAAAACACTATACAGTCATATTATAAATATGTATAAATATGTAAGCACAAAATAAATTCCCATATTTTTTTTGTAATCCAAAACATTTTTTAAAACCTGCCTGTTTATTGAGGAAGTTATTATAATTTGAGTGGATATATACATACATACATACATACATAGAAATAAATACAAAATAAATATAGCTCTTACTCACATATGTGTTTGTGTGCATATTTTCTAGCTCCTTCCAGTGAGAGAGGACTAGAAGCAATGATATATATAACAGTAAGTACAATTAGAGCCCAGACCTCATTTCTAAGTATCATTCTCCGGAAAAAGGATCTGGAGATCTTTGTAGAAATGGCTAATCTTAGAATCAGCGCTGAGAAATTAGAAGAATATGGAATATCTTGTACTGCCAGAAAATAAGTGCTCAAAGATTGGTGTGTTTATGTTAAGGGGACATCAAAATCAGGTGAAAGGGCTCTCACTGGCCCAATCTGGAAATTTTTAAACATTAAAATAAATAAATGATTTATTCAATGTAAAAGTTAACATTAAAAAAATAGTTATATACCATGGGAAATAAGTAACTAAGAATGTATCTGTAGGTACTCTGAAAATTTAAATAAACATGTCCTATTTCCTAAATAATACTAAAATACTGATAGCGGACAGTAAAGATTAAATAACAGTTATAATTGGCTTAATACTCAAGGATCCCTTCAAAAAATTCATTTTCAGTATTAAAATTCACTTTGTTTACTTAAAATCTAAAATGTTAGTTATAGAAACTAAGTGGCAGAAAGCTGTGTTCTTAAATATGACAAGTTTCATCATACTTTTAAAAAATCAGATAACTTTTTACTCAGTGTATTTCAATTTAGGAATAAATGTAAATAAAACTAACAGTAAAAACAACAAATTTGACATTAATCAAGTTATAAGTTTTCAGCCATTTTTTATTTTTTAAGTTTTTGAGCATCAAATTGCTTTTCTATTTTTTGATTTCATGTTTTGAATGCTTCCATCTTAAAGTGGATGAAAACTGAAGTTAAAGTACATCATTAAAATATACCACATTTCCCATGACTCGTCAATTTAAAAATCAAATCACAACATTTCTAAATAGTCAAGCCTTTCTAACTCCTGGGCTTGAGTGATCCTCCCCTCCTCTCTATAAATCATTATAATCAGAAAATAATGCAAACTACACTAACATAAAAATTGAAGACTTTCTTAGTATCTACTTTATCTTCAACTCCATTCCCACTAGTATCCCTCTACAAGGTCCCCTAAATGGCTGTCTTTGTAGCCCTAAGGTGGTAGGAAGAGGATAGGTGAGGAGAGATTACTTAAAGGATTCAATATATGTTATTGGGCAATGGATACTCTAAAAGACCTGATACCATTACTACATAATCTATGCATGTAATAAAATTACACTTGTAAATTGGGTGTGGTGGCTAACACCTGTAATCCCAGTAATCTGGGAGGCCAAGTCGGGAGGATCACTTGAGCCCAGGAGTTAAGAGACAAGCCTGGGCAACATGGTGAGACCCTATCTCTTAAAAAAAAAAAATTACATTTGTACCCCATCAGTTTATACAAATTAAAAAGAGAAAAGTCTTCTTACCCTTAGCTTTTGTACCACCATCAAATTTGAGCTGTAGGCTCAAATTTCTAGGATTTATATCAGCTTTTCTAAAAATGCAAAATTTATTTCCTCTTGCTTATATACTCAAGGAAAACAAACACGTCAAAGGATGTGAGGAGATTTGTGAGGAATACACAAATACTTCAAGATATAAGAATATAAATAAAAATCACAATGTATATAAGAATATAAGCAGATTCTTATGCATGATTCTGCTTGGCTAAGAAATGAAAATGGCTATTTTACAATCTTTACTACTAAAAACAAACCACAGAAGTCCTACACAGAATTCTCTAAGCAAATATATTTGTTCAGAAAAATAATTTCATAATGTGTTACAGGTAATGCTTTTGGAAGCATAAAGTATGCTTTAAAAACTTTTAATTTCTAGAAACTGATTTTGAAACAAAATTTTGTAATCTAATTTTAGATTGTGAATTTTTTAGTGCAATAAGGGCTTTTAGCATTTAAATGGCGTTTGACAATAATCACATTCTGTTTTGTTTTCTAAATTCAAACCTTCCTATGTGTGTGTGTTTTTTTAAACAAAAGACTTTGTTTGTACCTGTTCTAAAAGCCTAAAGCATTAAATAAATTATAAGTAGATTTACTTTATCGTTCTAGTTAAATACAAATTCTGTAATAATTTGTTTTAGCACATGCTGTTCAACATCATCATAGTAGAAATTTTCTGAATTTAAATTAATGAACATGTTATAAATTACATGTCACTATATGACATTTGTTTCTAAGTTATATACCATAAAAGCACTCAAGTAATAAAACATAACTAGGCTGAATTGGATAAAGCATGCTTTTAAAATTTTATAACAATACTTATTTTCATACCTGTGTGCTCTAGTATTAGGGTGTGTCTCTCAGGTAACTACATTCCATTTTATTCTAAAACAGTCATGAAATAGGCTCCCAGAACTCCACAGTATTAAAATTAGAAAATAAATAAAATTCTTTTGATCCTATTTGGCTTATTTTTAGTTGCTGCAACAAATTACATCAAGCACTCATTCAAATAACAGGAAAACTAAAAATGCAAAGTTTCAGGACTTTAAAAGAATAGTTCACAATCCATTTAACAATAACTGATCTATTCTGACAATTAAAAACCAACCAACCAGATGGGTAATGGCACTCAACACTGAACTGTATTCAAAGTTGGATGGGGCCAGGCGCAGTGGCTCAAGCCTGTAATTCCAGCACTTTGGGGGGCCGAGACAGGCAGATCACGTGAGGTCAGGAGTTCGAGACCAGCATGGCCAAGGTGAAACCTCATCTCTCCAATAAAAAATACAAAAATTAGCTGGGTGTGGTGGTGTATGCCTGTGATCCCAGCTACTCAGAAGGCTGAGGCAGGAGAATCGCTTGAATCTGGGAGGTGGAGACTGTAGGGAGCTGAGATCCCATCACTACACTCCAGCCTAGGCGACAAAGTGGGACTCCATTTCCAAAACATAATAATAAAATAACATAAAGTTGGATGGACCTTTGCAAGGCTCCTTATTTTACAGATGAAGAAAAAGAAATTCAGAAACCTTAAGTGACTTGCCCAAGGTCACATTTGAACACAGGTCTTCTAAATAACAGAGCCCTTCTGATGACTGTATAATGCTACATGTTTGTAGCATTAAAATTGTAATGTATTATTGTTCCTCTCACTTCTATCCTAATACTCTTTCCACTCTGCCTTGCTCTTTTCATAGCTATTCTAGTACTGGCAATGGGTAACCCACTCATACTGTAGGTATCTAAACTTAGAAACCAAAACTATTCTCAGGAGGCAAAATAATATGTCCTTTACTATTTCTGTTATCTTTACTTTTGATTACAGCTAAGATTTCCTTCTGTGAGTTGGCTGTTGTTGACAGGCAGTGACTCAGCTTATGAAACAACTGACTTGTTTATAGGCTACGAACATTCTACTCATTATTACTAAATCAAGGGAGCTTGTTTATATTATGTTACCATGCATTTTATTTAAAAGCATGGATAATAATAATTCTTAAGAATATATTCTTTTAATACTCTGAACATGAAATTATACATCTGAAAAAAATGTTAAGGTTACTTAACATTTTTTAAACATTGTTTATTTCCTATTAGAGTGGCCTATAGTACAAGAAAAACAGACTGCAGAGTCAAAAGATCTAAACTAGAATCCTTAGGTCAAAGTGGCTACTTTTCATCTAGCTGTGTAATCCTACACAAATCACTTAACTTATCTCTCACTCTCTGGGTCCTAAAAGTAAATATAAAATACATCCTCCACACAGTTTTTCTTTTTCTATTGCCCAGGCTGGAATGCAGTGGTGTGATCTTGGCTCACTGCAGCCTCCACCTCCTGTGTTCGAGCAATTCTCCTGACTCAGCCTCCTGAGTAGCTGGAATTACAGGTGCATGCCACCACTCCCAGATAATATTTGTATTTTTAGTAGAGATAGTATTTTGCCCTGTTGGCCAGGCTCGTGTCGAACTCCTGACCTCAAATGTTTGCCTGCCTTGGCCTCCCAAAGTGCTGGGATTACAGACGTGAGCCACCATGCTCAGCCATCTACGTAGTTTTTCTATCAAAGGGAAGAACTTCTTGAAAATGCTCTATATAGTCATACTATACAAAAGTAAGGTATTATCATAGAACTATCAGTTACTATCCTTAAAATATATGTAAGAAATATGCAATTCTTGTATATAATGAAATTTATATACAAAAATTTTAATATTTAAATTTTCAAAAGATTATCTTTTGGGGGTACAGGTTAAGAGGAATTTCATCAGCTTAGGAAAATCTGCAAAGATCTTTTGTTTTCTGAATGCCTAGGCTTCTCGTTAATGTTTAAAAACCTGCATGGAAAGAAAAACTTACGTAGATACACAATTTAGAGACATACCTGATACTTTATGTGGTATTATTCCTTCATTTAACGAAAAAAGAAGAAAAAGAAAAACGAGGAAGGTTAAACAACTAAGGTAAAGTCAAACAACTGAGTTTTCTGATTTCCAAACTACTGTCCTTTCTACCAGGCCAGTTACTATGCAAATCCCTTTCTCAAGGAGCCTAACAAAATTCTAACTAGCATCATGTTAACATTATTACCAGTTTTCCCTATATAAATTACAAACTCTTTGAGGATAAATACTCTTTTTATTCATTTCCCTCCTATTAGTACCTGGCAAAACCTTAAATATATAATACATAAAGGATGCTGAATTAAGCTTAATAAAATCCAGTATTAAGAACATGAAAAGATGCTCTACATTATCAGTCATTAGGAAAATGCAAATGAAAAGCACAAACAGATATCACCAGTGCATACTTATTAAAATGGTTAAAAAAGCAAAACTAAACTAAAAAAAAAAACCCCTAAAATTGCTAAGTAATAACAGAGATGCAGAACAACCAGAATTGTTGTCTAGAATGTACAACGGTACAGCCATTTCAGAAAAGAGTTTGACAGTTTTTTACAAAGTTAAACATACACTTACCATATGAAGACATATGTCCACCCAAAAACTAGTATACGAATATTTATAGTAGCTTTATTCATAATCACCAAAAACTGTAAATAACCCAAATGTCTATCAGCTGGTAAACGGATAAATAAACCGTGGCATTCAGCAACAAAAAGAAATAGACTACTGATAGAAGCAACAACATAAATGACTCTCGAATGCTTTATGCTAGGTGAAAAATTCCTACCCAAAAAGCTACCATACTATACGATTACATGTACATGACATTCTGGAAAAGGAAAAATATGAGGACAGAAAACAGATCAGTGGTTGCCACAGCCTGGAGGTAGGGGAAGGGAATTGATTACAAGAGACAACTGAGAACTTTTCTGAGATGGCACATATATTCTACATCAGGACTTATAGTAGTGGGTGTACAACTCTATGTCAAAACTTGTAAAACTATATACCTTAAAAGGATAAATTTTTCTGTATGTAATTAATACCTCAGTAACACTGATTTAAAAAAAAAAAAAAAAAAAAAAAAAAAAAAAAAAAGTCTCACTGATGCCCTTTCATTATCTAAAACCCTAAGTAATTTACTGAGTTTCCATGGCCTTAATAGTTTTTCTCACTTAAAAAATGGAGGGGCTATAACATTAGTATTTAACTGTTACCACTGGAGGGTGCCCAGGTTTTTGGTGTTTTGAACAAAGAATTGGACAAAACAAACAAACAAAGCAAGAAAGAACGAAGCAACTAGAGCAGAGATTTTTTGAAAACGAAAGTACACTCTACAGGGTGGGAGGTACACCAGCAGCAGCTCAAGGTCCTGGATAAAGTATCTTCTTGGGTCCAAATATCCCCTAAAGGTTTCTTCCCATTGGCCACTTGGTATTCATCTCATGTAAATGAAGTGGTACTCAATCAGAAGCTGAAGTGAAGTTAGAAAGGTCACACTCCTATACAAACATCTAATTGGTTGTGGAAAGCAACCAATCAGAGGCAAAGTGAAGTTACAAAGTTGTCTTCTACGCAAATGAGGATTTGGCTCACAGTCTGTTTGCCCAAGCCAACCAGAGGCTGAAGTGAAGTTACAAAGTTACACTCCTATGCAAATGTGTGATTGGTTGCTTTCTGCAACTAACCTTACCATAGGCCAGGTAGAAAAGGTAGAGGTCTGCAAAGGAAGTAGCCTCTGGCTCTTTAGTTAGTTAGGCATGGAAAGTGAAGGTTTTCCTTTCAGTTTAGTTCCAAGAAGTCATTGTGAAACAGCCTTATGTTCCCTGACTCCAGACCCTATTCTCCTGCCTCATAACTACTACCTCCCTTCCAGTGTTAAAATCATATTACTCAATTGTAGAAACATGTTTGTGTCATGTCTATTTTTCTTAGAACTCTTAAAATTATATTTGTGTTGTGTTAATGGTAAATAAAGTTAAATAAGTATTTCAAGTCATATGCATTTAAAATGTCAAAATTAAAGCAATATTTTTCAGATATCTTCTAATAAAGTGTGGTTGTTAGATATATAATTTTTTCACTAATTCTTATTTGTTAGTACAAAGTACTACAGACATAAAATAATAGAATATATAAACTGGTGTAAACTTAAAGGCAGTACAGGTAAAATACCTAATCACATAACAGGACAGATACTGTAAAATGAAGAAAATGTATATAAACTCATTCATAGCTTATTTATATTTACTAAAGCAACATGTTGCATCTTTTAGGAGATGAGTCATACAAAAATTCTACTTATTAATGCAACCTGGAACTAGGTTTGTAATCCAGAGCTTCTCTTGATTAAATGTTTTGTTTTTATTAAATAAATATTATTTGGAGCACTGTGGATATCCTTAGGAAGATTTCATTAATTCTCAAATTAAAGACATTCCTTACAGTGTTCTCAGTTACTGCAATGTGACTGCCACCCACAGTCATGACTGCCTAGCACAGTGCCACCTTTAGCTTGCACAGCTTCAGTCAAGATGGGAAGTAAATAGGGGCGTTCTCTACACTGCAGTTCCTACCAAGCCAAATGCCCACAGAAAAGCCAGTGGTAAAGCATGCAGGAAGCAACTAGCTACAAAAGCCACTCACAAGAATGTGTTGTATACTAGAAAAGTTAAGAAACCACATCATTATAAGCCTTGTACTGTGGCTCTCGGTGAATATCAGAAGTTATCAAACGCACATTGAACTTCTCACTTGGCAACTTCCCTTCCAGCATCAGTTGAGAGAACTTCAAAACAAATCTACACTCCCAGAGTGCAGTCCCTGACATTTTTCTAAAGTGAGGCCTACCTGGCTAGCCTATTTGAAGACTCTACCAATCCTTGTGTTATTCGTATCAAACATGTAACAATTATGCCAAAGGACATCCTGCCAAAAAGACCCTATGTACAGAAAACGTGCTAAGATGTATTATGAAAGGAAACATTTTATTCTTAAAAAACAAAAAAATACCTAATTATATGACTGCAAATGGGGAAAAAAATGGATGAGACAATAAGGTATTAGCAAGTTTTCTGCCCATTTTGATCTGCACGTAAATTTTTAGTATTGATGTTAGGGACAAAAAACATTCATGCAAGTAAAAAAATGTTTCCATGAATAAGTTTCAGCAACTAAACTTTATAACAATTATTTTAAAAAAAATCTGATGACTTTTTCTGAGGAAAAAAAAATATTTCTTGCCCCCTAATGTCTACACAGTAAAAATCTAAACTCTTTCTAGGCACACAAAGTCTTTGAAATTTTTAGACACAACCTGCCAGAACCAGACGCCCCATGCATCTACACTAAATTTTTTGCCACTTTCTAAAATGCACTGCAAACACTCGTTTTGAACACTCTTCCTCTTTCTCTACATAATAATCAAGTCAGCCTTTCTGATTACACTCTCACCAAACCCCTCAAGAAAGCTGGCTGCTCCACCTCTATGGTTCCACTTTATTTCCACATTATTCATTTGTCTGGTCACCTGTTTGTCTCTTCCATTAGACTACACTAGGATCTAGAACGAGGCCAGTTTCCTTATTAATCTTCGAATCCCTCGTAGTAGTTCTTGACAGCTACTAACTCAACGTTTAACTAAATGAATTCCAGAAAATCAGGAGTCATGGAAATCGATACTAAAAAAAAAAAAAAAAAAAACCTAAAGCGCAGTTATGACTAAATACAAGTAAGTATTTAAAACGATAAAGGTATTTATAGTAAACAAGAATGCTTTGGTTATACTAAAAAATTTCACTGAGGTTGTAAATGAGGTTCATGATTTTCCTTAAGTTAAACCTATAATCTTACCAAAGGTATCAGATCAACATATTTATTTTTTCTGAATTATGTCATTTAGCCTTTAATTTTTCTCTCATAGAAAGTTACTTTAATATAAGCCTATTACACTAATATTTGAAAAATTTTAGTATAGAAGCAGTTCACTACACAGCGTCAAATCTAAAGCATCACCACATTACCACTGACAGCGACAGTCTCTTCCATCCATGTCAACTAGTTCTACACCAGAGCTACAGAAAATCAGAATTATCAAACACACCAAAATCTCTCAGAAACCATGACTTAACATGGATCCTGCTTTAAAATAACATTTCACACTGAATCCTAATAAACAAGAAATGTATTAATCTAGTGAATTATTTTGACAACCACCTATATAAACCAAACTAATTTTTCTCAGGACCTCATTGGCTTAACTCAAAACTCCTTTAATACTTTCATTTTGTTATGTGTTTCAATTTTCAAAGCTGTAACAATAGGTCTTACTTGATCATGTAAGAGAGCCTATCAAATCTAACAATCATTTAGAATTAGTACTATACACATTAAAGTGTGTAGCTGACAGGCTGTAATCAGAACTATAACTTCAAATGACTTGCATAACTAAAATATAATTTCGTTTTCATTTAATGCACAAATATTTATTGAGCAACAAAAATGCACTGCACGTTGTGATAGACCCTGGGGAAGATATAAAAATGAAGGTAATAATAGTAATCACGGTAGTAACAGAAGGTGGTAATTGCTAACATCTATTGATACCTTATTACATGCATGACACATTACATATATTAATTCATTTAATCTTCCCGACAATGCTAGGAGGTAGTTAGAATTACCCTTAATTAACTAAGGTACTGACAGGTTAAGGAATTTGCCCAATGTCAGACAGTTGGTATTTGAACCTAGGGACTCCAGCTGTGGTGTCCTGACTCTGAGGAACCTCCAATCTAATAGAAGGTATTGACTGAAATAACAAATAACTTATAATAAAGAAGCAGAATTTTTCAAATACCAAAGGTGCTGCAGGATTTTAGAGTTAAGAATATGCAATCAGGTTGAGAGAGGAGATTTTTCAGGCTGGATTTTGCTGGTTGGATAGGATTTTAAGAGCATGTTTTAAAGAACATCAAAACTTGAGACATCTATGTCAGTAATTTTTATAAAAACAGCAATCTCTCAAAAGCAGATTATATCAATAACAGTTTTGTATAAATTAAAACATCCATAGACATGGATGCCTTATGTATGCATGTTTCAGTTTAGTTTCAATAAATGAAAAAAGAGGGCAATTACTTCCACACCTAGGGACAAAGTAAGTGGAAGTATGTAGTAGGGTAGAGAGGACACATACATTTACTCACACTACTCCTACATCTATTCCTTCTTACACTACACCAGAAAAACCAGGTTCAGGAAAAAAACATATTCTTTAAGAATGTTGATGTGAAAGATCACATGATTTTTTGTCGATCATCTGCCATCACTGCCAAGCGCAATCATTTTGCCAAAGACATTTTCACAACGGAGAATGTCTGTCTGTGATTTTAAGCCACCAATACCTGGGAAGAACACTTAAAAATCTGTGTCATAACCCTCATAATAGAATATGCCTCTGCATATCATGTCACCTAAACATGCTGCCTAAACTCAAGAAAGTCCTTAGCACCACGGAATTTGTTTTAAAAGTGGATGTCTTTTGGAAATTTAATTTACAATAGATATTTAAATATATACTTAATGTTTTTTACAACCCTTGTTTTTGATACGATCTTTTCTAACTTGGGCTACCACCATACCATACTATTCTGGAGATGCAGGAACTCCTCTTTTCCATTTGGGAAAAAAAAAAAAAAAATTATAGTATCTGGGCAGTAAGACACAAAAAATTTATATGGCTAATCCGTAAAAGGGAAAATAGAAGAGATGCAGGAATCCTAACTACTCAAACAGTCATTTTCATGTAAAACCAAAGTCCACCCACTTAAAACTCCTTAAAAACTGTAGGACAAAACCAAATACTTCATAGTATTCACTCAGGGCAAGGGCACAGAAGCGACACATGAACATATAATAGCACATTTGGGGAATGGCAACTAATGTAGTGGAATGTGGTTTGAACAAAACTGGCTTGAGGCATGAGACAAAAACATTAAAAATCTCTAGTTAAAGATGATAAACTGAATATAAGGATTTAGCTCTAATGCCTCCCAGTGAAGAAATTTTGGAAAGATTATTAACCCCAAAGAAACAGAAACACACTTTTAAAAGCTAGAAAACAGAATAAGAGGCAATGACAATTACATCTGGGAAGGCTGAATTCCACATTAGCCAAGAGGAAAACCAAAAACACCTAGTTTATATCACATTGACATTTAGTACACCAAAGACCTCAAAACTCCTTGGAGAAGTAGTTGATTCCAGGGTTGGGGCAAGGAAAACATAAGATGGGCTGAAGCATTATGTGGTGTCAGAAAGTAAAGAAGTGAGTGCTCAAAAAGCAAGGATGAGGACAGAAGCCAACCAGAACGGGCACTCCCTGGCCAAAACTGGAACAGTTTGATCAACAAAATAAATGATACAGAATTGGATTATAATCCAAAGAATAAATATCCAGAAATTCATACTCATACAAATTAGTAAATAAATGGGAGGGAGGGACAAATTCTCCTCACAGAATTCCAATTAATAAATGTAGAAATAATGAGAGAAATAGAAAATCAGTACTATTAAGCCATAGTAATAATTGCTGCAGACAAGACCACAGATGGACGATAAAATTAGTGGGCAGAAATTTAGGGGGAACAGGATACCTCCATGGTCTCAAAGACTTTGATTTTTAAAAGCTATTTTCTTTATTTTTAAAGTTTTACCTGCCTGGTTGAGTGACTTTAAATCAAAGCATTTAACAACTATTAAAGAGAAAAACAGTAAATTCACAGTGGAGAAACCTAGCAGACACCCCCTTACCCAAGTGATCAAGGTTATCACCAGTAGTACATATCAGCATCATGGCACCCCCCACATAATGCACTGAGAGAAACACATCCCATCTAGTGATATCCTTCTTTTTAATTCATAACCTCAATCTATGCATGAGAGAGCATCCACAAACCCAAATGGAGAGCCATTCCATGAAATAACTGACCAGTCCTCTTCAAAGTGTCAAGATCATGAAAAAGAAGATTGAAAAATTATCACAGATAAAAGGAAACTAAGGAGATACAACTAAATGCAATGTGGCATCCACAATTTGGATCTTGAAATAAAAATCTTGAGTGGGAAAACTGGTAAAATCTGAATAAATTCTGTAGTATAGTTAATAATATTATACTAAGGTTAATTTCTTCTGATCATTGTTCTATGGTTACATAAGACGTTAAGATAAAAAGAAGCTGGGTGAAGGGTATACGGAATTTATATTCTTTCTGCAATTCTTGTGTAAACACATTAAAATAAACAAACAAAAAAATAAACTAAGGGGCTCAGGAACTGGAAGTCTCAGACACTCTGGGAGTGACAGCGGAATCCAAACTAGACTTCCTCTTCTACCTTCAACCCCTTCTGATAAAAGAGTAAACAATCTCTGGAAAGCATATAACAGCATATATCTAGACTAGAGGACAACATGTTCAATTGAATTTGAAGGGTGCCATAATGAAAACTGGGTAATTAGCTTAATCTGCATGCTTAAAGATGAAACCCATGTCCCCTTTTCCTACTCAGCTCTCAAGCTTGTTCTCTCCTGGCAAAAGATGAGAAATTTTTTCTGGGAAAACAATCCAGCACAAGAGAAAAGATGTGTCACTGGATGACCTGGTCTAAATGCCTATGTTTCCCCACCCCAAAATTCACATGTTCAACCCTACTTACAATATGATGATATTAGGAAGTAGGGTCTTTGTCTGGTGACTGGAGCAAGAGGGCAGAGCCCTCATAAATGAGATTAGCGCCCTTATAAAAGAGGCCCTAGAGAGCTGCTATGTCTCCTTCCACCATGTGAGAACACAGTAAGATGGTGCTGCACTGTGAACCAGGAAGCAGGCCTTCGCCAGACACCAAACCTGCCAGAACCTTTACTCTGGACTTCCCAGCCTCACAGTAACCGTCAGAAATAAATTTCTGTGGATTATAAACCACCCAGTTTATGGTATTTTGTTATAGCAGCCCAAATAGACTAAGACTGGTAGTCTGCAAGGAAATTATCCAGATACCCAGAAAACCATAATCACCGAAAAGGAGAGCTTCCATTCAGCTTAAGGCCTGTCTCTTAAATAAGCGCAGACTTCCAAGGATCATAAGATATCTAAGGAAAGCAACAAATATGAAAGATAAAGACCAAAGCAAACAAACAGAAAAAGGAAATTTGGAAGAAAGAAAGAATATGCAGATTTTAAAAAACCACCAGTATTTCCTGAGAGAAGACTGTATCCATAAAACAAATACAGGATATTATTTTTCAGAAAAAGAAGTGGAAACTGCACATATTATAGCAGAAATAAGGACTTAGGAGAAGAACTGCAAGACAAAGTTGAGAAAAATCTCCCAGAAAGCAAAGAAAAAAAATGGAAAGAAATGGAAAATAGACTAAAATGGACAAGAAAATGAGAGAAATCAGCAGGCCCAATATCTAACAATACGAATTCAAAAGATTGAGGAGAGAAAAAATAAAAGAAAGGAAATCAAAGAAATTAAGGAAAACTTCCAGAATTTATGAGATAAATTCCAGATTAAACAGGAGTAGCAAAAAGGATTTTTTAAAAAAACAGACATATCTAACTATATAATACAAGAATTTCAGAACCCTGGGGACAAAGATTCTCTCTAGCTTGCAAAAAGAAAAAAAGAAACTTCCAAAATAGTTGAAAAGGATCGTCTAAGCATCTGATCTCAACATCAACACAGAAAAATGTAAAATAAGTAGAGCAATGCCTTCAAAATTCTGAGAAAAAATTATTTCTGACTCATAGTTCTCTGCCCAGCCAAACTATCCATAAAAAAAGAGGGGAGAAAAAACATTTACAGTCATGTATAGTCCTGAAAAAGTTTTATGCCATCCAGAAAACTATTGAAAGTGGCCCTTCGAAATGAGAAAGTAAACAAAGGCAGCCAAAGATACCAGACACACACAGAAAGAGGGGCTCCAAAACAAGAGAGAACTGAGAGAATCATTAGGATGACAGTACAGCAAGTCCAAGACAATAGCTGCACAAAAGTTCTAGGTTTAACAAGGTTAAATTGGAGCAGGTCAGAAGGCCCTGAAAAAGAGCTTCTTACGAAGTCAAAGTTGGTAGGTCTGAAGATAGCCATTTATACACTTAATCAGGGTTTCTCAAAAACAGCCCTATAGGTATTGTGGGCTTTGCAATTCTTTGTTATGGGAGGCTGTCTTGGGCAGTGCAGAATATTTGGCAGCATACCTGGCTTCTACCCACTAGATGTCAGTAGCACACATTCGCACTCTCCTCCACTCCCCCAACATTGCAAAATGTCCTCGGGTGAGAAAATGGCCCCCAACTAGTAACCACCTGGCTAATTTAATAAGTATACAGAAAACTAAGCAAAGCAAAATTGTTAAAAATTACTAACTCTGCCTGTAATCCCAGTACTTTGGAAGGCTGCGACGGGCAGATTTCCTGAACTCAGGAGTTTGTGACCAGCCTGGGCAACATGGTGAAATCTCGTCTCTACGAAAAAACAATAAATTAGCTGGGCGTGGCAGCGGGCGCCTATAGTCCTAGCTACTAGGGAGGCTGAGGCAGGAGAACTGCTTGAACCTGGGAGGCGGAGGTTGCAGTGAGCCGAGATCGCGCCACTGCACTCCAGCCTGGGCGAAAGAGTGAGACTCCGTCTCAAAAGAAAATAAAAAATTACTAACTCTGGCCTGGCTAACACGGTGAAACCCGTTTCTACTAAAAATACAAAAAATTAGCTGGGCGCAGATAGTGCCTGTCTGTAATTCCCGCTACTCCCGAGGCTGAGGCAGGAAAATCGACCCGGAAGAGGGAGGTTGCAGTGAGCTGACGTGGCGCCACTGCACGCCAGCCTGGGCGACGGAGCAAGATTCCGTCTCGGAAGAAAAAAAAATTACTAACTCTGACCTGGCTAACACAGTGAAACTCCGTTTCTACTAAAAATACAAAAAATTAGCTGGGCGTGGTGGTGCAGGTCCACTCGCGGGGTGTAATGCCCGCTACTCGGGAGACTGAGGCAGGAGAATCGAAACCGAAAGATGGAGGTTTCAGTGAGCCAAGATGGCGCCCCTGCATTCCAGCCTGGGCAACAGAGCGAGTCCGCCTCAAAAGAAAAAAATAATTACTAACTCTGGCCTGGCTAACACGGTGAAACCCGTTTCTACTAAAAATACAAAAAATTAGTTGGGTGCAGATAGTGCCCGTCTGTAAGCCCCACTACTCCCGAGGCTGAGGCAGGAAAATCGACCCGGAAGAGGGAGGTTGCAGTGAGCTGACGTGGCGCCACTGCGCGCCAGCCTGTGCGACGGAGCAAGATTCCGTCTCGGAAGAAAAAAAAATTACTAACTCTGACCTGGCTAACACAGTGAAACCCCGTTTCTACTAAAAATACAAAAAATTAGCTGGGCGTGGTGGTGCAGTTCTACTCACGGGGTGTAATGCCCGCTACTCGGGAGGCTGAGGCAGGAGAATCGAAACCGAAAGATGGAGGTTTCAGTGAGCCAAGATGGCGCCCCTGCATTCCAGCCTGGGCAACAGAGCGAGTCTGCCTCAAAAGAAAAAAAAAATTACTAACTCTGGGCTGGCTAACATGGTGAAACCCCGTTTCTACTAAAAATACAAAAAATTAGCCGGGCGTGGTGGCGTGCGCCTGTAATCCCAGCTACTCAGGAGGCTGAGGCAGGAAAATCACTTGAACCTGGAAGGCAGAGGTTGCAGTGAGCCAAGATCACGCCATTGCACTCCAGCTTGGGCAACAAGAGCCAAACTCCCTCTCAAAAAAAAAAAAAATTACTAACTCTGAGAAAACACATGTTGTATAGGGAAGGTAAATAAAGTAAACACATGGAGTCATTATAAACTCTGAAATACTGATGTATCCAAACAACTTACAGTATGAAAATATTGGGAGTACCGGGCAGGGTTAAAATGTGTGTTTGTGCGTGGTTGGGGATAGTGGTAAACCTTTATTTTTATGTAAAATGAAAAATACCTTAAATTGAAATATCAAGAACACTATAAAAACACTAGTTTCAATTATAGAAGTAAGTATCAAAAGAATGAGTTGAAAGCAGTTGCCTCTAGGCAGCCCGAAATGAGGAAATTTGCAGAGACCTACTATTTTTGTAAATACAGTCATGTGCCACATAAAGACATTTTTGTCAACAACGAATCACAAATATGACAGTGGTCCCATAAGATTATAATACCATATTTTTACTGTACTTTCTGTATGTTTGGACACACAAAAACTCAGGATGTATTACAACTGCCTACAGTATTCAGTACACATGCTACACAGGTCTCTAGCCTAGGAGCAATAGGCTATGCCATATAGCCTAGGTGTGTAGCAAGCTAAACCATCTAGGTTTGTGCAAGCACACTGTGTCATGTTTAAATGATGTCTAATGATACATTTCTCAGAACAGATCCTCATCTTTAAGTGACATGTGACTGTACTTCTGCAGAGCTTAATATTTAACTCCTATAAATACGTGCATGTATTAAATATAACTGATAAAAATTAAATTAAAAAAAATCAGCTGAGTCCCCATTATCAAGGACTTTCCTACTGGTTAAAGCTACCTTGATTTAGAATCAAACAGCTATATGTAACTTTGAGCAAGTTACTCAACTTCTTTAAGCCTAGTGTCTTCATGTGTAAAATGGATAATGAAGAATAATAGCTAATACTATCAAACTGCCAAATGAGATAATGTATGTAAACTGGTTAGCATAATGTCTGGCACATACTGTTTACAAATAGTACCTATCATTCAAATTGCAATCAGAGGGTAATAATTATAAAACTGTAAAACAAGTAAATCTTAATCTCCTATGTTTTGGAAAGTAACCCTGGCAGTTGTCGGAAGGATGGTTAGGAAAGGCAAGGCCTCGGAAGCTGAGTGACCAATTAGAAGGTCCACACTGGAGAAAATACAATAATTAGACAAATGCAGAGCCACGGAGAGAAAGATAAGGATACAGAGACGTTTTCTAAATGGTGAACTATATGTGAGAAAAAGGGAGAGAGGAGTCAAAAACTGTTCTAACTTAAGCAAATAAATAGATGGTGATAACACTAACTGAAACAGAACACCAAGAATTGGGTTGCAAGAAGGGAAGGAGAAATAAGCTTGATATTACTATTTTTAATTTGTGAGTCCTATATTACAACCAAGTAGAGATATCTAGCATGCAAGTGGAAATCTGAATCTAGAAGCGGTCAGGGTTGGAGCTATAAATGTGTAAATCACAATCAAAGGTTGAAGCTATACCAGTGGAACAGATTACTCAAGGCAAATATACAGAGCAAGAGGAGAGGTGAAATATAAAAACTGTGAACACAAAAAAATAGCAACACTATGGAAATACCTCCCAAACTACAATCAGATCATCTAAATTTCTGTTTTTGAAAATAATATTGCAATATCACTGATTTGATAATGGAAACAAGAAAAAAAATAATGTACATGCTCACTGTTTAAATATGAAAGAAATCTAAATATATCCCAATAATCCAGACATTCAGAAACAACTCTTAATATTTTTATGTATTCCTGCTCATCTTTCAATGCATATAACCCTAAATTGTTCATTTTTTCCTTGACAAAATCAGAATGCTATACAACTCTGCATTCACCTTTGCTTTCACTTCATTGAATGAGCGGAAAGTTTCCATATCTAAAATACTGACTTTTATTAGACACTCCAATTTGTTTAAAACACTGATGAATATAACTTGGCAAACTTGTCTCTTACTGGTAAGAGAGAGTCAACATCTGAAATTTAAGAAAAAGGCTCATTTTAAAAGAATCACTAAAATCAAGAATGACAATTGTAGCACATTTCCTCAAGTAATTTAATTAGAAATAAAATTAAAAGAACATGCATTTGATATGTTCTATAATAGATACTGATGAATGGATTTTATAAGAAGTCAAACAACAGAAGTAAAAAACAAGTTGTTTTTGCTATCAGTGTGTCCTATATGTACTATGAGGTTGCAGTAGAGCTCAAATGAGTTAATACAAAGCACAACCAACAGTATCTGGTATATACATAAATGCTAAAAAAATACTGGTTATTACTATCATCATCATCATTAGATGCCAAAAGCGGTTCCAGATAGAAGCAGTAATTGCATGAAAGAGAGGACAAAAAAATTCAGAGACAAAGAATTTATATTTCTACTCTTTTTCTTTCATTTTTTCCATTTCCTCTGGATTTAGAGTCCATGAGCACTACTTTAAGTACTGCAGTTTAAGTATTACTTCTAACGCCTCAGTAAATATGTACCCTATCCTTGATTATACTATAAGATACTTGAGAGAAGAACAAATTTTTCTATTCTAAGTTTTCTCTATTTGGCAGAATACAGTAATATAAAAAGTGAGTGCTCAATGACTGTTAATGACATAAATCCTTATAAGAAAACAGAATAACAAAACAGCAACCAAACAATAATTAAAATTGGGATATTAAAAGAGACCTCAAAACCAAAATCAATATACTTCAATTCAAAGAGCAGAATGAAACCAAGTGAAAAGCTTTGTTCTTCACCACAATGAACAGATACCACTCTCTTTGCTCTTTCTGGGTACAACAATTTAGGAGGAATACTAAAAACCCTCGATTATGTCCAAAAGAGAGCAACTAAGAAACAGTTAAAGAACTGAGGATGCTCAGACTCAGAACAAAAAAGGTTAGTTCTCTTGCTTCCCTCTCCCATCTTCAATGATGAGAAAAGCTATTCTATGGGAAATGCTTTAAGATTTCTGTAAGGCAGCTATCAAAAAATGGCAATTATAGAGATCTAGACTTCTCTCAACTCAAAAACTTAAAAATAACATCTCTTCTACGACAAAGATGTTATCAAAGATTAGTCGTGAAAGGATGTATTAAAGCAAAAGTTGGAAATTAGCTTGCCAATGATGCCATGGAAAGTCTCCAAGGACAAGATAATTAGTTAGAATTCTAAGTTTGCTTACAACCCTGTGACCACATAAACGAATTTTTACTGAATATCTGTTCCAGGACACTGTCCTAAACCTAGAATACAAAACCTACAAAAACAAAAAGCAAAGAAAGAAACACACAAAATCAAACTCTCGGCTGTCAAGGAATTCACAAATAATATATAAAATGTAAATTGCAGTTTCAGATCATAATAGATGTCACCAAGCACCATCTATTAATTGCCAAGTGAGTTCTACTTATACATAAAAGTCTTCTAAGAGGGAGTAATCTCTAAGGTTAAAATGGTCAGAAAAGGCTATTTAGAATAAATGAGATATGAGGTGCTTATGGAAAAATGTGTATGAATGTTTGAACAGGAAGAAGGGGAGAGCACAAATGGAAGTGAAATGCAAGTTAGAGAGAAACCTGTTTGACTACATTAAAAACCTGTTTCATGGGAGAAGAGATAAGCTGGGAGAACAGGGTTGTGGCCAGAATCAGTTGTACTGGGCCTTGAACACCAAGCTAAGTAATTTCAAATTTATCCTGCATAGAGCCTCTGCAGCAACTATTCATCTCTGCTGCTGTAGCCATAAAAAATACTAAATAAATGGCACAGCTGGTCCGAGACGAAAATTTGAATTGCATATTATTTTCATGTGTCACAGACTATTATCATTCTTTTGATTTTTTTCTTCAACAATTTGAAAATGTAAAACTCATTTTTAACTCATGGGCCATACAAAAACAGGCTGTGAACTGATCGGGACCACAGGCCATGGTTTGCTAATGCCTGTACTACACTAAGCTGTCTTTTCCAAGAGTCTTCTAGAGGTACATTTGTCCTTGAATATCAGGGACCAGAATAATACATGATTCACTGAACAACTATACACACCAATATATGCACACACACATGCTCACATCTTACCAAGATCTAAATCTAGTAGGGGTCAAAGGTTCCCTATATAAAGGTACTCAAAAAAAAAAAAAAAATCTTTAGATTACTGGTAACAAGCCATTAAAATAAATGCAAGATTTTTTTATTTTCCCACTTATTTTCACATGACATATATACTTAGAGAGTTAAAAACTATTCTTACAGAGCCTCTAAATTACATTGAGAGCTCTGTAAAATAGAGTATAATCAAGGGAATAGTAGCAGAGGATGTGAGTTCTAGCACTAGCTCTGCTGTTTACTCATTATTTGACCTGAACGAGTCACTTTCAATCTTCTGGGCCTAATTCCCTCAACTGTAAAGTGGAGAGGTAACTTAGATGATTATGCTTTCTCTTACCTCTAGCACTGTATGATTCTGCTACTACTTAAAAGAACCTGTCCGGGAGCTTCAAGGGTCACACAAAAGTGCTAATTAAGAATACAAAAAAAGAAGAGAAAGGCCTTGACAAAATGAGTGGGTAGATAGGACAAACAGGTGGGAAAATGACCAGAAAAGTGGTGTATCACCAAGAAATTGTTTTTCTAAAAAACTATCAAACCTTGCAGAGAATTCAAAGCAGAAGAGGCAAGAAAAGAAAAAGCCAATGAATTTGGTTATTTAAGAGATAAATGGTGACTTTCAGTTTCCAGTAACCCAGAAGCAAATACAGAAGTGGAGGCAACCACTTTAATAAAGAATGAGTGTGGCCATCAAAGAAGAAAAAGCTAGCTGGCTAGCTACAAAAGGCAAGGACCACAAATCATGCTTCCAGGAATCATGAAAGGAACCAGGGAAAAAGAAGACTGAAGATGAGACTAAGGAATAGACAATAAAGGCATATGGTCCATAAAAAGTAGAAAAAAAAAAAAAAAACAGTTGTGATGAATTTAAAGCCTCGGAGAAGGGAGTTCATCTTATAGGACAGATATTTAATCTTTAAACTTCCACTGCAGTTATCACTTCTTACACAACAGATGTTTCTGCAAAGCTCTATCTATTACTACCTCATGCCTTCTATAAATCAAGTTATTAGGGAACTAAATCTAATACTGGGTTTTCTTAAAGCAGAGTTCTACCTATATATTTTTCTAATGGTCAAAAAATTGAGAAAGAATTTTGTTTTCTATAAAAAACAGTAATATGTAGCTCTAAAAGGAAATACATATTTATACCTTTCTTACAGCACCTATCACTTCCTTCCTTGTATAAGAGTTACTTATGTGGTAAAGTACCTAGTCCCTAATTGGAGTACAACGAACACCAGCGTTCCCTTTCTTAGTAGCTCATAAAGTTCCCTAGCCAAGAATTCTGATTAATTCATCTGTTTATCTGCTTTGCACGGAGTTGGTGACGCTTAATGAACAAATACTGACACATAGCTCTCTGCCTTTTACAAAAATCGTCCTTGCAAAACAACTATCACTGTCCATCTGACAAACCTGGGAAAATACTTGTATCATACAGATACATAACTCCAATAGTATCACCGTTGCATAGTGTTAGAGCTTGCTTAAGTAGCAAAGAATTGCTACAAAACAAGTAAAACAGACACAAAAAATTTTAAGATTCTGTAATGATCACTCATAAATTTCAAGATCCCAAATAGCTAATTTCAATCCAACACTTGTCTCTATTTAAGGTATATGAGAAATAAAAATCCAAAGCCTTAGCCTGATGATCAGCCAGTTAAAAATACACGTTTGAATACGCCGAAGATATTTATAAAGCCAACAGAGATACTATTAATATGTTGAAATTCGCTGGCCAGTGCTAGATTCTACCCTTACTCTTCTACTATTCAGGAGAAGCCAAGTAGTCAAGGCTTCTCGTATCACTTGCTTTTAAGAATTTAAGAAGTCACTCAAATTGGCATACACAACCCAACCTCAAAATAAATAAATAAGAGTTCAGCTCTCCATATGGTAATGTTCGCCTATGTCCTTCCTTTACATGAAGGTCCCAAGTACTACTTTTCCACTATCTTCGGTAGGCCCCATTTAGGCCAATAGTACTACCAAGTAACAGGAGTTGAAAAAAAAGTCGTAACAGTTAAGTCTGTCCTCCCACAGATCTCACTTGAGTGTAGATTTCACAAGCGCTGAAAGCTATACGCTGCCACTGTCAAACCCAGAAGCAGCACCGTCACCCTGCCGTGCCCATCGGCAACTGCTCCAGAATGTTTTCTTCGAAATGATTTCTCTCTCTCGGCTCGACATTTTAAACAAGAACTTAAAAGGCCACCTTCTCCCCTAAACCAGAACCTGATTCCTTCCCGTCGGCTCCTTTAGTCGTCCAGTCCCACAAACCCGAGGCGGGAGGTCCGCTCTCCAGCCCACAGAGCCAGCGGGTCTCCCAACTGCTCACCGCACCCACCGTCCACCCCACACCGCTTCACACCTCCTTCCCCCATAGCCGAGCCCGCACCCCGGCTGGGCCCTCAGGCGGCCCCCCAGCCCGGGCCTGTGCTGCCTCGAGCGGCTGCAGGCCTCAGGCCTAACCTCCTCCGGGGCCCCCTCACCTCTTTCGGGACCAGTTGGTTCTCCTCGCCGGGCACCATCGCTCAGGCTCCGGCCGCCTCCTCTCCGCCCTGCCAGGGGAGAGTAGAGAGTGGTAGCGGCTAGCTAGCTCAGGAAAGAAACGAAGCGGCAGTCATCCTCTCCGCCGCCTGCGCTCCAGCAACCGTGGAGGCCTCAGTCTGGGCCTCAAACACCAGCGCGCAGACACGGACCCAGGACTCCACCGCCGCCGCTGCCGCCGCCACCGCCGCCTTCGTCGTCGGCCCCTCCCCCAGCCCGCTGCAATCAATGGAAAAATGGCGGCGGCCGCTCTCGCGAGAATTCGGCCCGTCGGGCTCGGGGCCCGGCGCCTGCCGCCCGAGGCGACTGGCACTTGTCGCTCGCTTCTAGTCACCTCGGCTCTTCTTCAGCCCCGGGAGGTACAGAATTGGCGGAACAGCCAAGCAAACGCTTTTCGTTAGAGGAGAGCTCAACCTTTCATCTCGGGACTCCCCCTGCCGGCGGGGAAAAGATCAGGCCCACTGTCCTCCCTGCCTTCTTGGGCTCTTCCGACCCCCTGCTCAGCAGGGAAAGACTCGAACCGAAAGCCCCTTCTCTGCCCCTAGCAACTCGTACTCTTCTGGCTTCCCGTTAGCAAACCGCGGACGTCATCCCCTCTTCAGATACCCCAGGACTCGTCCTTGTAGAGACACCACCGCGGACCACCTCCCGGCCTCCGCCCTTAGACACGGCTCTGGCCCTTCCAGCCGGAATGGACCGCGTTTTATTTGCTTCCGTTCACTCTGCAGACGTTCTTTTCCCCTCACCCCACCCTCCTTCTCAAGGCTCGCCGACTGGAGGGACCTCGGGCCACCTCCCGCTGGGAGGCAACCACCCCTCCCCTTGTGAAGCGGTGTCCTCACCGGCCGACCGCCCGCCCGGCCGCCGCTACTACATTGGAGAGGTGCTCCCCTGCCCCCTTCCAGGGAACTTCCTGACGGCCAAGTCTGAGACTGAGCTAGCCTCCAAGAGTAGAGCTGCACTATGCTTCAACCTGAGATATCCGTTAGCAATGTTTTTAGAGAACTTTAATCTTCTCTAGCAGTAAGCATGGTGCTTTGTATTGTACTAAACAAAGTTTGCAGTAGTCAGTTTTCCGAATCCTACTTCCATTATGGTGACTCGGCGGGGCTCCTTCATGAAGACTTTTATGGATACGGCGATCTTACAGCATGCTGAGATAATATAATCCTGTCATGTTCCTAACACCCACAGCATTAACTGCCTGCACTTGTGCTTTCCAAACTTTTTTTGATTGTGCTCCCATTAACAAAAAAGAAAAATGATATCCATTTACTTACATAAGTTTTATATGTGTCCGGCTGTGTGCAGAATTATAAAACATTGTAAAATGTAAAAAAGATGAGACAAAGATGAAATAAACATTTAAAATAAGTTATTTTCCATATTAATGTTATAAAATCTTAGTTATTCCCACTAAAAATACAGTATTTAGTGAAGTCACTATGATTGACTAGGAGGCGTTAGTTTTAAAAATCTTTAATACTTTGGGAAATAGTTATTTAAATGTCTAATTCACGTTAGGTTCTTTCTGTACTTGGTTTTAATGGCTGTCATAAGCTGAAAAAAGGACAACTCACAAAGATGTAGATCCTAAAGGAAGAAGTACATTTTTGACCACTCTTCCTAATGCATGTTTAGGAAGATTTTTTAAAAAGATATTTAAAAAGTCCCATTTTTATCCGTTTCATCCATCAACCATACAAAGGTTTTTGTTGAAATTCAGCTAGTAGTGTTCCATCTTCCCTGATGTCAACCAGAAGATATTGCATTTTTATATTTTTATAAATGGGTTTAAATCTCTTTGGAATAAATTGCTCAGAAAATTTTTAAGAGGTTGAAAATTTCTGTCTTCAAGTTTTAAATATTCATGTATGAGTTTTGGGGAGGGTATTGATCTTGTCTTTAAGATTTTGCTATTTTGATTATCATGGATTGGTTAAAATTAATTTTGACTTTTTACAATATTGCATTAAAATTGGTTATCTTAATTATTGAATTTTTGGCACCCCCCTGAAATTTTGTGCCCAAGGTGAATGGTTTTCATCTTGAAAACCATTTGCTTCACCATAGTCCCAGCCTTGGGTGGCTCACATAATCATTTTTGCATCAAAATCACATGATGGAAATATTTCCAAACTTCTATTTTCAAAATGTCATCCCCGTGACTTAGTAAGGTGTCTTCTGTAGTGTTGGCCAGTGCTGTAGTGCTCACACTAGAAGTAGAAATGTCATCTCTGTCATCATCTTTTTTGCTTACGCTTGCAATATTATCTCCAACTCATGTTATCTTTCCAGAGATCCTTTTTAGCCACTTTCATTTTAGTAAAAGTTGATATAATGAAATAAGAATGTAATTGATAAATCTACTTAACCCAGCACACACGAACTGGAATAAGTCACAACATACTAAAAGAAAATAAAATGAAAAAAATCCCTAAATTTTCTACATTGCAGAACTCACACTTTTCACTCAGGAGCAGTGAGATGTCAGTGTTTATATATTCAATATAAGTAAGATTTAATTTTGTGTTTTAGATTAAAATAAATATAAAAAAAGGTCTAACATTTTCTTCCCACAATCCCCCTTTTCTGAATGCACACTCTTTTCTTTATAGGCCACCGGCTTGACTGTAGGAAAGCCTGATAGGTTGGTAGGTATACAGTTAATATTTGTGGAATAAGTATGTGGATTTAGGAATCGATTAATGAATAAATGGACAAATACAAATATATGGCTACTCTTCCTAATATTTTATTACTGAGATTACATGGATATGTTTATTTATTTACTTTATATGTGAATTTTATGTCTTCAGTTCTCACCTCTCCTATAGGCTCTAAACGTATACATCTACCTTTTTAATGGCTCAATTCCTCCGAAATTTAAACTTGACCTGAACAGAACATTTGTTTTCCAAGCCTCCCCTACCTCCTACAACAGATCCTCTATCAGTTCTCCCCCACCTTGATAAATTACACCATCATCAATTCAGTTTATCAAACCAAAAACCTGAGACCCTTCATCTTATATTCAGTCTCTTTGTATGGGCGGTTGCTTCCACCTCTGAAACAATCTCAAATCCACCCACGTTTCTTTGTGTCCACTGCTGCACATCCCACTCCAATTACTTTATTCTTTTGCCTGGACTACTGCGGTTGCTTCCTAACTGGGTTCCTGTTTCTAATCTTATCCCTCAACAATCCATATTCCATCAAGCAACCAGAGTGATCTTTCAAAAATATGTCAGATCCCCCCCAAATCTTCCAAAGACGTTTCATCCCTCTTAGAATAAAATTTATATTCTTTACCGTAGCCTGTAAGACTCAACATAATCGAACCCCTGTCTGTCTTTCTGCAGTCATCTGCCACTCTTCCTCTTACGCACAGTGACCCAGCTACCTTGCCTTTATCGAGCTTTTTAAATACATAAAGTTTGTCTCTGCCCCAAAGCCTTTGTAGTCTTTTTTTTTTTTTTTCTTTCCCTGAAATGTTCTTTTCCCAGATCTTTTCTCTTATCTGGTTCAACCTTTTCATTTGGGTCTCTGAATTGCTAAATCTTCAAAGAGGCCTTTCATGATAATCCAATCTCAACTTGTATTATCTCAGTGTCTAGAACAATGCCTGGCACATAGTAGGTCATTAATAAATTATTGCTGAATTAAAAACAAAAACCAAATGCCAAGACTGGTGTAGGTCAGAGGCTGATGATTTTTCTTATAATTTCTTTGGGAATATTTGCCTTTTCTTTTTCACATGAAAATGTTCATAGTATAATCCCAGTCAAAGCATAAAAAAAAAAAAAAAATCACACAAACCTAGTTTGGAGGACTTTCTACAGGATGCCTGGTCAGTATTCCTCAAGACTGTTAAAGTCATAGCAAACAATGGAAGACTGAGACACTGTGGTAGACCAGAGGAGACTGAGGAAATATGACAAGTAAACGCAATGTGGTACTCTGAATTGGATCCTGAAACAGGAAGAAGCCAGTAATGAAATAAAACTGGTAAAATTCAAATAAAATCTGTATTTGGTTGATATTTATGTTTAATGTCCATTTCTTTTAGTTTTTAAAATGTTTTTTAAAAAATTTAATACTTCATTTTTATTAACAGCAAAATACCTTACTTTTATTAATAACAGCAAAGACTATATTTAAATGGTAAATGAGAAGAAATTGTAATTATACTTTATTTTTTTAGAGCCATTTTAGGTTCACAGCAAAACTGAGCTGAAAGTACAGAGAGTTCTCAGACACTCACTGTCCCTACACAAACACACCCTCTCCACTGTGGGGTGAAAACTCCCACCACAGTGGTACATTTGTTACAACTGATGAACCTACATTGACACATCATTATCATCCAAAGTCCATAGTTTACATTAGGGTTTATTCTTGGTGATGTGCTTTCCATGTGTTTTGATAAATGTATAATCATATATATCCACCATTGCAATATCATACAGAATAGTTTCACTGCCCTAAAAATACACTATGTTCTACCTATTAATCCCTCCCTCTCTCTTAACTCCTGGCAATCACTGATCTTTTTACTGTCTCCATAGCTTTACTTTTTCCAGAGTGTTGGAATCATATGGTAGGTAGCCTTTTTAAATTGGCTCTTTTGCCTAGTAACAGGCATTTAGGTTTCCTCTATGTCTTTTCACAGCTTGATAGTTCATTTCTTTTTAGCACTGAATAATATTCCATCATCTGGATGTACCACAGTTCATTTATTCATTCACCTACTGAAAGACATCTTAGTTGCTTCCAAGTTTTGGCAATTACCAATAAAGTAAATAAAATGTGGGTGGTTACATACGTGCACATTTTTGTGTGGGCATAAATTTTCTTCAATTCATTTGGGTAAGTACCAAAGAGCATGACTGATAGATTGCACAGTAAGGGTATATTTTAGTTTTGAAAAAACCTGCATGATGTCTTCCAAAGTGACTATGTCATTTTTTATTCCCACCAGCCATGAATAAGAGTTCCCATTACTCCACCACATCTTTGCCAGTATTTGACATCATCAGGGTTTTGATTTTGACCATTCTAACACATGCTTAGTGGTATCTTGTTTTAATTTGCAATTCCCTAGTGACATATGATGTTGAACATCTTTTCATATACTTGCTTGCCATCTGTTTATCTTCTTTGGTAAGATGTCAGTTCAGGTCTTTTGCCCATTTTTTACTTTGGGTTGTTCATTTTCTTATTATTGACTTTTAAGAGTTCTTTGTATATTTTGGATAACAGTCTGTTATCAGATGGTTCATTTACAAGTATTTTCTTCCTGTCTGTGACTCGTCTTCTCATTCTCTTGATATTGTTTGTCACAGAGCAGAAATTTTTAATTTTAACAAAGCCCAGCTTATCAATTACTTATTTCATGGATCTTGTCTGTGACAGTGTATCTGAAAAGTTATCACCAAACCCAAAGTCTTCTAGGTTTTCTCCTTTGTTATCTTCTAGAAGTTTTATAGTTTTAAATTTTATATTTAGGTCTATGATTCATTTTGAGTTCATTTTTGTTAATGGTATAACATTCGTGTCTAGATTCATTTATTTGCACGTCAACATCCAATTGTTCCATTTTTTCACCATTTGTTGAAAAGACATTTTTCTTTGCATGTGAACATCCAATTGTTCCATTGTTTCACCATTTGTTCAAAAGAGTTTTTTCTCCATTATATTCCCTTTGTTCCTTTGTCAAAGTTTAGTTGACTATGTTTATTTGGGTCTATTTCTGGGCTCTCTATTCTGCTCCATTAACACATT